TATGTATAATATCTATTAGTTGATACATCAGATACTACTACTAGTAATAATAGACCAACTGAAGCTACAGCTAGTACAACAGGAACAGGTATTATAACTACATGTATATTGATCAGTTGTGAACTGATATTGTGTGCAGGTACTGTTGATCTTGATATTGTTAAAGGAAAAGTTCAAAGTATCTTAATGAAAAATCAAGTTGCTTTAAAGAGAGCTTTCAGTCTATCATTGCAAAGCATATCAGATCAACTCCTTCAAGTTGGTATCATATCTCAAGATATACACAGATCACCATCTTATGATGACATCATTGGATCTTTCTTAGCTGGTCTTACTTTCATACGCAGGCAGTCTAAGCTTAATAAAGAATGTGACACTTTTCTAACAGCATTATCTAATGTTGGGGGACCAGTAGCTCGTGCTGCTGGTATGTTAAGGGAAGATTGGGAACAAGCAATGAACATGTAACTTTATTATTATCACACATGCACCTAATTAATATACATGATGTATACATGTATAATTATTTGTATACTCATGGATGTATACCTTTTATTTTGATTTATTAATTAATGTATACATACATAACTACATGTATGTGGGCCCTGCTCCTGTCCAGTTCCATTATGAATATGAGAGAATATGAGACTGGCTAGTAATAGTAGGGGAAATGGTAGCCTGTAGGTTAGGACTTAGGATAATAGTCATCACTGGTTCTTTACAACAGAGAGAAGGTTTGAAATTGGTAAAATAATGATTAAATATGTCATATTAGAGTACAGAGGGATTGGAAACGGGGCATCTCCGTATACATCGCTAGGATACGGATGCTAGTTGACAATTTGACATTTGCATCTGGCAACGCCTAGCAACGGAGGCTGTCTTTGAGCAAGAGCTGTCTTTTTGAGACCTGTCATTCCAGCAGTGGTGTCACTATACGTCATTATTTATATCAAAGGAAGCAGAAGAGACCGGCATCTATCCCTAGACTAATTTTTATGTTGCTAGCATCATCATTTACACTGAATATTTGCTCTGGAATGAGAATGCTTAGAATGACATTTTGTTTTGTACCCTTATCTCAGTAGTGTTAGACAGAAAACAATAACTTATTCAACCACTCAATAGAGATTCATAATGTGGAGGTCGCCCACTATGTTTCGTTTGGAAATACGGTTGCATCTTTCCGGCTGTAACAATAGATTTACTGATTAGTTCGAGAGGTTTGTTTTGTACCCTTAACATAAAAACCAAAGGGTCTGTGACATTAGCTATCACACCATTGTATTGCTTAGAACACACCGGAGGTCGCCAACACCATTTCTATTCAATAGGTTGTACAAAACAAAAAATAGAACTAAAATAATAGTAAATGTGATCAAAAATGATTGCTAATTCATAAAACACTGAATTTAAACTGCAAACAGATACATTGCTACAGCAGACAGCTTGGGCAAACAGGAAGAATGTCTCTAAACATTATTGAAGGGTTACCTGCACAAAATAAGACTTTATGCAACAAAAAACCACCTGAGAAGCTTGCTTACCTTTTTCAACTTTCGGCCATTTTAATTTTACATACGAGTATTTAGAGAAATTATTTACGGTACTATCACTAGCATTTTCCTGTTGCTACGGCCCGTTTGTACTCTAATATCTATGAATGTGTTTATTATAAAGAATGTGTCCCCACAAAATAATATAAAAGTTAGCTATTAACTTATACTGTGTTTACACTAGCTTCTTTAACTGAGCCAGCCCTGTTTAAAGTGGGCCAGCACAGTTTCATTTGATAGTGTAAACAGTAATTAAACTGAGCTGAAGTGAACTGGGCTAAACCAGGCCGGCATGGCACAGTTAGTACAGGAGGGCCAGCTCAGCCTGGCCTTATTACAATAGCAGGGTGTGGCCCTTCTCATGTCATATGATTGAACAAATGCCTCGACAAAATGCAAAGTTGCAAACTAAACAAGCAACACAGCAACATTAATGGCTTCTTCCAGTTCTTCGTTTAAAGGTTAGTATTCTGTCCCCCTTCCCTCCCTGTCTCCTCTTTCTCTTCTTTCTCTCATTATTATTTCTTGTTACAGGTATTGGTGAGATATTTGAGCATTCAGCTCCTGTAGTAGGAGAATCTCTGTTTGTATGGGGAGGGTCCAAGCCTTGGTATCATGGAGTACATGAATCTCCTCAAAAGATAAAGCTGTACTCCACTATTGATAGACTGGACTTTAGGACTGGTCGTTGGTCCTCTCACGTGACCAGAGGAACGTCACCTCCTCTAGGACCTATAGGATACTTCTGTACTGTCAGAAACAATGACATCTTTTATATGGGCGGCTACTGTGGACATGACAACTGCTATCATAATGATGTCAACTTATTTAATACTTTAAATTATGAATGGAATAAGTTAATATCAAGTAGCGATATTGTAATGAAGAGAGGGTTTGGTGGTATGGTGTGTATGGAGTCTATGGGTACAGAATACCTCCTAGTAATAGGAGGACATGGATCTACACCCACTACATACCAATCACAGTATCAATATGATCAGATGGTTGCTGGCCATTTTCGTACTAATGAACATAATTTATTAAGTTTATCAACAAGTAAGATCCAGCTCCAAATCATAATGCATCTCTTTAACTATATACTTGTGTAATATAAAGTATTTTAATATTTTTCTCTGTTTCTACTAGTTTATGCAACAATAATGATAATCTTTCTCTTTTAGGACAGTGGATTATTCCAACTATTAGTGGACAGTGTTGTCGTCCTACTTCAGTCTTTACTCTTACAAAGATCAGTAATAATAAATCTGTCTTGTTTGGTGGATCAGTGACTGATGATGAAGGATATAATTTACATGTTAATAATGTCTATACATGCCAACTTGAATCTGATGCTACAATAGTAAGTTACTTTAATAATTAATAAATTAGTATACATGTACATACAATGTACTGTATAAGATGATTTATTGGCAAGGAATTAATATTAGTGATTGACAGTTTTGTGAAGAAAATTGTCAATATAAAATCCACCATTTTGTTTCAATATGAGCTTACTCAATGACAATTGGCAAAAATCACAAGATAATATTTTTGTTAATGTGTCTTGTTATTGCATTAGTAAGTTTTAAGGTCACCATTGGTTTGTATCTTAGAGCAGTGACACTAAAATTTGCATGCACAAATTTTATTCATTTTCCATGTACTGTATAGCTGGTTTGTTTTGTGAGGCTAAACTTTCATTCTTTTTGTTCTTCAAGATGGGAGAACAAGCAATTAGCCAAATGAAATTCCAGTTTAATGGGCGATGTACATGTAGCTTATCAACGTCTTCAGAGTGAATGTTTAACCTCAGTACCTCACAAAAGTCATTTTGAGAATGGAAAACGAAAGTTTACTCTCACAAAACAAACCCGCTATACGGTACTAGTTGCGGTATTGATGACTGTGCATTCATTTCTAATTATTGCCCTCATTTCATGTGTTAATCATGCATGTACATGTACATGCATGATTAATGATAGTAATAATGTTTTATTGTTAATGTCTTTATCTAGCACTGGGAGAGTGTTAAGGGACCAGTAGTACCTGCTAGTGTACAGTGGCCTGTGGAGAGACGTGCTCATGCTATTACTAGTATCATCAGTGACTCACCTACACTAGTAATGATAGGTGGAGTGGATCAGGAGAGTCAACTAGTAAATGATAGTTGGTTACTTGATACCAGTCAGTACCAGTGGAGTAAGGTAATGTCAGTTTGTGAGTATCAGTGTATAGTAACATGTTATATCACTTATTACTAGTCATTGTATTGTTATGTTATATTATATCAACAGATTGTTCTACCTGAATCTGTTACTGGTAGATCAGATCATTCCTTATCATCAATAATGATGAGTCCAGACTGTGTGTGGTTGGTGGTAGTGGGTGGGGCTGGAGCAACTGAAGTGAGAGATCTGGGAAGAGGATATGAGGAACCATGGAGTCAATTAATCACTGATCCTAATATCACAATGTTAATAGAATTAGGTAAAATAACATCTGCATGTATATGTATGATAAATTGTAATGCTTTGTAATTCATGTACATGTACATATACATACATGTACATGTATATAATACCAAGAGTGGATGATTATACTTTGATACACATACATCTTTATATTCATGCTGTATAAATTATAATATACAGTATTGTACATTAGACATTTTAAATTACCATGTAGTGAGCTCCTCGAGGATAACAGATTTTGCAGACAATTAATGAAATAATAAAATTACAGCCCGGACAGGTACAAGTTGTACAATTTGACAAACAAAGCTTAAAATAAACTATCACTACATTTATGCAAGCTATGTAAACTACAAGTAGTTATGATAGCGGAGTGTATAGTGCATGCTTGTATATAGTGTATCATGTACTAATATCAACAAACAAACAGATGTATACATTACACTTTACAGGCACTGAAACTATGCACACATGTTAAATTGAGATGTACTCACTTTATTCTCTAGTTTAGTTGTTTGTCAACTTGTACCTGTCTGGTGCTGTAGGTATTGTGGCTGAATAGTGAAAATTCATAAACTGGCAGTATTTGCTAAGAAATTAATTATTATCCTCAAAAAACTACAATGCATGCACCAACTTTATATTTATCTCTGTCATGTTCTTATCCCCTTTTTTTGCTTCCTACATGTACCTCCTTTTTATATTCCTTCTTCTGACCTTTATCCACTCCTCTCTTTCTCTCTCTCTCAGTTCTCATTAAAGGTCAATGGACAGTAAGTGAAGTACTAGATTCTACTGATCTTACTAAAGAGGCCTATCAACACAAATATCAATCATTCCTTAAAACAAGACAATGGTGGCAAGATTGTTTTATAGTCTATCCAACAGAAAAGGAAGTACAACAGCAGCAGTACATACAAGTACTGCAACACGAGTTAAGAGTATTTGAAGTAAATAAAACCTCACTGCAGGAAGCACTCCTTGAGGCTAGTCAGCAAGGTATAGTCCTCTACTGTGTGTGTGTGTTTATTATTTTGTGATTTGTGAATAAACTTTACATTAAGAGGTGATATATCTGACACATTTAATTACTAATGACACATTATGACATGATTGTTAATTGTTGTTAATAGTGTATATGTGTATTGGTTAGGTGATGTTACTGATGGTACTTACACTAAGACTCCTCCTCCTCCTGCTAGTGTTGATGATTCTAAAGTGAAGAGTTCAATACAAGAATGGAAGAACATTACTGGTGAGGTTATACCATGAGTACATTACTGTATATCTAATGATGAGATAATACATTGAATTTTATGTAGAAGAGATTGAGAAACTTAAAGCTATAGTTGTTGATAGTGAAACTTATATAGCCACACTGACGAAGGAGAAAACTTTAACTAATGGTAAAACTATCATTGTATTACTGTATGATGATACTTTCTTTTATGTAGAAGAAGTTGAGAAACTTAAAGCCAAAGTTGTTGATGATGATATGGTAATTGCTAAACTGACAAAAGAGAAATTGCAACTAAAGGAAGAGTTGCAGTCATTGAAAGACACCACAACTGCTGGTAAGAGTATCAGTATATTAATTATTAGTAAATACATTTCTATTGATGAAAAAATGAGAAGCATTTTAAGGAGAGAGAGCCAGTAAGAGATATTGGCAATCAGTTTGATTATATTGTTCCTTCAATAGTAACTTTAATACCATTGTTATAAGCATTGGAATTTGTTATCACTAGTAGACATTAATTGACTTCATTAACCCACAAATATTTCATTGTATAAACAAAACTGATTATATGTACTCACTCCTTCATGTACCGTATAACTCAAAACTTTCGAGGGTAAAAACTTTTGTGAATGAGTGAAAAGAGAGATATTTACGATTAAAACTTTCGCAAATGGCCCAGCTAGGTCCATTGCATTGAGGGTGTGGCTAGCAGCTCTATACTTGAAGATTGGGAGAGCTCCTACAGCATCAAACAAATGAAAAGCATGACTGCAAGAGAGTTTTGGTCTTCTTTCTTCGAGATACATGTACAACTGATAGAGGCCATTTCAAGACAGTAAAAGCACATGTGCACAATTAATTAAAGCAAGCCCACGCCTACTTGACCACACTCTATTGAATTTTTGCGATGAAAACTTTTGCGTTTGAGGCCAAAACTGCAAAATTCACGAAAGTTTTCAGCTTTGAGCTATACAGTATATCAGGGTTTCCCACAAAGCAGCTAAACAGCATGAGCTTCATGAGCTGACATGCTTACACAGGGCTGCCAATAGGCTACCTGGGGCCCAGGCTAAGACAAAAACTTAGATGGGGCCCTACTAATACAAATTCCCTCTTATTAATAACTGTACTTTTGTAATGTGCATGTGCAATTAAAACAAAATATTTAAAATTTGCCATAGCTCCCAAGAGTACACCCAGTCTTCCTTGCGAGTTTTATGGAGGTGAATTCAGTGAAGGGAAATGGTACGGATCCATTAATAGGGAGAAGTGTTGTCTTGTTAATAATGTTGGGTCCTTGACTAATGGAGGAAAGGAAGAGGAGGAACAAGAAGGAGAGGGAAATGGAGGAGAGCATAATGGAGGGAATGAAAATAGTGGAGGAAGGCAGCAATATTTAGAAGGAGATGCAACAAGAGAGC